AGACAGACTGTTTCGCAGCTCATCAGTGTGGCTAGACATCCATTTGCCTCTAGCTAGGTGAATTTTAAGTGTATTTATTTTTAGATAAATACACTTAAAATTCACCTTTTTCCCTGCCAGTGACTGAGAGAACTCAATTCGATTTACCGAAGAGTCTTGCATTATTAGCCATAATAGTCACTGTTTACAAACTCACATTTCCTTCCCAGAGAGCTCAACCGAAATAAATTTTTCAGGAGCATATATATTGTCATCCACAGACTGTTTCGCTGTATCACAGCTCATCAGTGTGGCTAGACATCCATTTGCCTCTAGCTAGGATCGAAACCCGATTGAATTGGCGTCAGTCGGGGATTCTACCACTAAGCCGTTGAAGGTGAATTTTAAGTGTATTTATTTTTAGATAAACACCCAGTGACTGAGAGAACTCAATTCGATTTACCGAAGAGTCTTGCAATATATATATATATATATATATATATATATATATATATATATATATATATATATATAAATTGATAAAAAAACTACATCCACCTGAATATGCATTTTAATTTATTCCACATTAGACGTACAGATAATGCAGCTGAATTGCACAAGTGCACTGTATATGCAGGCTGCGATGGATGAATTGTCGTCTAAATAACGCAAACATGAAAATGACACTGACATTTCATGTTAAAAGATATATTTACCAAAATTACACAAAAAATAGCTTAAAATATTAAAGAATAAATCTATTCAATAAAATGGACATCGGTTTCAACCAGACGACTTCGGAATCTCCTGCAACTCTACTGGGCGGTTTTCTTATTTAAGTTGGTGAATACTGTCATAATACATGCCTTCAGCTTACCTTTGGTGTTACAAGGAGTTTTGTTGTTCTCTCGCTTAACTGCGTCAGGCATATAATAATCAAGGGGGTTGCAGTCTGGGGAGTTCGCTGGTTAGATGCAAGGAGTGATGTGGTCGCAGAAATTGACTGACAGCCATGATTGGGTTCTCCTGCTTGTGTGACATGGTGCAGAGTCCTGTTGCTAGACATAGGATCACCCGCTTGACACAGGGCAGCACTACCTCTACAAGGCACTTGATGTAGGCCTCCGTGTTGAGTCTGAGGCTCTGTGGGAAGATGAATCGAGGCATAACGCCAACATCAGTAGTGATCTTTCCAAAAACCTTCATAATCACCTTTAGACTCATCCACCTCTTTCCGAATCCTCTGCACTATCCTCAGATTGACAGCCAATCAGTCTGAAACGTTCGTATTGGAGCTTCCGGTGCAGTTCAGCATGCCGTTTTTAAATTTCTGGCGGAGTGAATTGCGTCATGGTGCTCTTTTTCTCACAGACTGAACCTACTATATATAAAATATAAAATGACGTCAATTTACCCATCGCACCCTGTATTACTTGGATTTTACTACTAACTTGTACTTTTGCATGCGTACGATAATGCACATACGACACATCCACGTGGTGTAATAGTTAACAAGCTTGTCTCGCCCGATCATTTATAACTGAATCGTGGGTTCGATCCTCACTGGGTGCTGCATATTTTCGCTCTTGTACCGAATCTAAGTTACGCTTACAAAAGCCACCATATGTATGTAGAGAGAGTGGTTAACTTTTACTTTATTCTACACGATACAGCAAGCGTTGTATGTGTCGTCAGATCGATAGATACAGCCACTGTATTGGCCAGTGATGCTGTTGAATTCGCAACAGAATATAGTGAGTAGTGTGGGCATCATGTGGGCTGGTATTATTCTGCTGGAATAGAATGTCGCCTTCCTGTTTAAGTTACTTCAAGACAGGGAGTTATAGAGAGCCATGATTCCGAAGATTCTGAAATGTTATGGCACATAAAACAAGAAGAATAGAGATGATTAGGTGATTTAATAAGATTTTATCTAATTTTAACGACGTTATGCTTGTGTAGGCTAATCTTGACATATTTGGGAAGGATATTAGAATAATCCAGAACCTATACTGGCAGAAAAGCGCTTGCATACGGATAGAAAATATACAAAAGACAAAAGAGCCACGGAAGAAGAATGTGTTTTTCCCCCGGACTTATTCAACCTATACAGTGAGGTGATAATGAAAGAATTAGATGTCCTATCAGGATTCATCATTGGCGGCTACAGTCTTAACATGACATGTAGATGACACAATGTTGATAGCCGAAGCAGAAAGAAAACTATAAAATCTCACACAGAAGTTAATGAATGAAAGAGTGTTGTGGTAGGATCCACCTAATTTGCACAGTGGATACCGACCACATAAATATGGTTGGTACCGGGAAGAGAGTGAGAGGAATCAAGAGATTGAATCCAGAGACTCTGCCCGACTGCGACTAACACATTCTCCAGGAACGGTCTTCCCAGGAATATACAAAAGACTATATGTAAATATTGTGTACACTTTCTTGTTTCAATATATTTTGTTCTAAGTACATTTTGTGTTGCATTATTATTCCATGAATTAGTCAAGTTTCAACAAAGAGAGAAGAAAGGACTAATGTCAATTGCAAGAAGACTGAATGCATGGTTTTTAGCAAAAGGAACAACGCGACATGCAAATTACAAATTGGAGACATAGAAATCAAACAAGTACAATATCTGTGAAGTCTTTTAACAGAGGACGGAAAGTGTGATACTGAAATCTGAAGGGATATTTGGATAGCGGAATATGCCTTCCAAAAGGTAAGCAAAGTATTAAGAAAGAGGAAAATATCGTTAGAAACAAAGAAAAGAGTGCTGAACTGTGATGTAATATCAGTCATCCTATATGGCATGGAAAGCTGGACAATCTCCTCACGGATGAAGAATAGACTTGAGACAACAAAAATGTGGTTCTACAGAAGGATGTTGAGAATACCATGGGTCGAATATGTGAACAACGACGAAGTTTTAGGGGGAAAAAAAGGATACCTATACTTAACATCAGAAAGAGACAGTTGAATTTTCTTGGGTACATATTAAGGAAAATTGGAAAATGTGATACTTAGGGGACATATTAAAAGCAAAATGCATTAAAGAAAGCAACGCATAACCTACCTGGCGAGCTTGAGTAAAAAGATGGTGGAACAGGATTTAGAAGAGCTAATAAAAAGTGCTATAAAGAACAGTAAATTGTGGAGAGGCATGATCAGCAACGCTCTGAAGGTGCACGGGGGGAGAGAAGAAAAAGTAAACAATGACTTTATGTAAAAGAAAAAGGGTACTGAACTATTAAGTAATATGGCATGGAAAGCTGGACACTAACCCCACAGATGAAGAAGAGACTTGAAGCAACAAAAATGTGGTTCTACAGAAGGATGCTGAGAATACCATGGACGGAACACAATGAAGCTTTTTCAGAAAATGAAAGCGAAAAGGACACTTACTGAACACCAGAAACATCCATCAATGATAGAAAATCTATTCTTCACTTGATTGTTTATATATATATATATATATATATATATATATATATATATATATATATATATATATATATATATATATATATATATATATATTATTATTATTATTATTATTAATAGAAATCCTATAAGTATAAGAAACTATACTCGCTCGGAAAACATTCAGTGTGTTGATTTGCAAATAAACAAGCCAATACCAAAGGGAAAAAAAGTTACGAATAAAGAAAGAACGAAGAACATGTACGTTACCCGAAAATAATCGTCCAGCATACAAGTTCAAAGCCCATAGAAAAAACTCCGATGCGAGTAACCAAAATAACTAAAACAAAGCCGACATTCCCTGACGATCCGCTTAGGTGAAACCTTGGTAGGTTTGTCTGGCTCTCTAGGTTTAACTATATATATATATATATATATATATATATATATATATATATATATATATATATGTGTGTGTGTGAAAAGTGTATAAAATATAAATAAATATATATATGTATAATTATTTGTATATTATATGCGCGGTACTTATTAGAAAGCGACAATATCAGAGATAGAGCTAATATATTTAGTTGGATAGATGTGAGTTTGTGATTTTTTAAAACATTAATCAGTTTGTCTGACGATCGCTAAAGCGTGAAACCCAGGGTCACAAACTCACATCTATCCAACCAAATATATATATATATATATATATATATATATATATATATATATTCCCCAAGCAAGAGGGAAATGCCACTAGTACGCAGGCGGGCCACAGGAAAGCAAAGAGAAAAAAAAACAGTATATGGGGGGGGGGCTTGAGGAAAGGACAAAAGATGAACGGGATTCAAGAAGATAGAAGATGGCGATTGACGTTGCATTTAAATTTTTGAAGATTATAGTTACTAGGGTGGCAACTAAGCGAAAGGGATTTCCACAGGCGGGAAGTGTGAGAATAGAAACTGCTGGAATAGAAGTGGCAGTTGCATTTAGCCATCTCAACAATAAACTGCAGGGACCTAGATGCCTATAAACGAGCACTCTTAAATTCATGTAATCGGGATATCAGGGGAAAAAGGCACATCTGAGCAGTTGCCATGAAAATATTTGTAGAAAAGGCAGTCGGAATCCACGCCACGTCGGTGAGAAAGTGACTGAAGCCGAGATGCCAGGTCAGGACCGATTACATCACAGATCCCTCCTTGGATTTTGTCAAGAACCACGCGGGGTATAGCAAGAGCACCAGACCAGATATGGCAGCAGTATTCAATGCACGAATAAATGGCAGATTTGTAAATGCGAAATATCTATATTGATTAGTATGTATCGCTTCTATCATCGGCTGCTGTTAAAACTTTGCATCCTTTTCCAAAGTTAATGGCACGAATTAATGACAGTAACTCTTTGTCAGATTTAGCTCTGTCAGATGCTGCTCTTACTCATTGTCAATTTGTGTTTGCTCGTAAAGTAATTACTGTAAATTTATCATCATTGCTTCAAGTTCTTGAACGATACTTCGAGCACTTGTTGGTAGGTGACACGAGAAAAGAGAATTAAAAAAAAGAAATTGGGAAGAAAGTCAGAATGATTTAAAGAAAGAAATAAAATCGAGAGAGGAACGAGTTAAAGAAAGAAAAGAAGCCATCTTAACACGGAGGAAAGTTTAGAAAGATAAGAGAATGCGCAATGCAAGTTGTGTTTGGTGTCAGCTGAAATCCGAGGCTTTTTACGTGTAAAGCGATCGAGAGGTTATCTAGAGGAACTTCCCCGAAGCGGTTCACTGCCGACTACCTCACCCGCATCGTCCTAAGCTTGGATTTCATTTGTACATTAAGAGTTAACTGTGGGAACGCGGCTCTAAAGTGTAAGACCCTGGGAAGGTGCATCCAGATCTTCCCATGTGAGTTTAACTAAGGCTACTATTAGCCGCTCTAATTTTTGTAGAGAATTTTCTCTTACCAAATTCTTTGTTTAGAGAGCAGTGAAATTTCAGCATTCATTGGCCAAACTGTCGGCTGAAATTTAGAAAATATTTTGGGAAAACTTGGACCTTCGTTCCCGAAAAAAAACCCTCAAAAACATGGAGTGTCAAAAGGTTGTTTTTTCATTGACATTTAAACTACATTCATTCATTGATAATGTTTTTTAAGCGATGATTAGAAGTATAATAAAACCTAAACATATAATGAAAGTGAATTTATACATTTTTTTTGTTCTTGAGAATTTGCAACAAAATATTAAATAATATTTAACTTTCATGTATATAAGACCGTTTTCATCTGTATAAAACCGTTTCCGTCTGTATACAACTGTTTTCATCTGTTTACAACCGTTTTCATCTGTATGTAACAGTTTACATCTGTATACAACCTTTATCACCTGTATACAACCGTTTACATATGTATATAACCATTTTCACCTGTATAGAACCGCCTTCATCAGGCCGAAAATTGAGTTCTTCAAATCACAACTCCGTGGGATTTCAATTGAGTTGAGTTCTTCAAATCACAAACTCTGCGGAACTTCAAAATCTCACGTCACGAAACCTTTTACTTTAACTCTGATTCATTGGCTTTTTTGAAGAAATAAAATTGATTTCCTTAATTCACAAAGTTTTTGAGATATTCTAAACATAATTTAAAACTTTTTTTTAAATTGACAGTTTTTGTGCGACTTTGAACTCAATATAAATTTTAAAAAATTTAAAATTACTACTTTTTTCAGTTATTTTAAAATTTGAATTTTTAACTGTTCCCTCCCATCCGGACACAAATCCCAATTATGGATGTTCATGTACCATATGAAGAGCTGATTTCCAACCTCGGGATCATCCTGATTCTAAAAAGTATAATATGTCGAGCACGTGTAGCCCGATTTAGAGGGCTTTCAGACACAAGGACAGACAGAATTTGTCGTTTATTTATTTAGATGGAATGATCTATTATGACACGTCTCTAATTTGTATTTAAATACATTGTATTAATTTTCAATTTATCTAGTTGAATTGTTCACCTATATTGCATATGATCCAATATTGTACAAAATTAGGTTACAATCAAATTTATATTTCATGTGAATACTACCTTAGGAAAATTAAGATGTAGTAACGTGGAGGTATCAGATGATGATATATATTTTTATATATCAAAAACAATATCGGAAAAAAAATGTATGACAAAGTGGAGAAAGTTTTCTATTCGATCGCCTGTAATAATTGTTACAAAAATACATAAGAGAAACCTCAAAAAAATCTAAATAAAAGATTATATGAATGCAAAAAGGACATTTTACAAAACAATGTATCATATGCGTTGGTTGCCCACCATAACGTGATTGACCAAAATTGTGTCATCAAAAATTCTACTCTGATCAAAGGAGAAATCAATTCACTACGACGAATTTTCGTCGTAGTGAATTGAGCGAGTGTTTTGATCTCAAGGTCATTCACAGTATATTTGCGCTCTGACCCTGAATTGGATGGTGGAAGGAATAGGAACTGGGATATAGGCAAACCTATCTACACCTATTAATATCATGGACTTATGAAGTTTGTAATAACCTTTTGCATGTGTGTGTGTATTCGTGTAGATAAATAATGAAAAGATTAGGATAGATAAAGAAAATGAGATAGATAGATAGATAGATAGATAGATAGATAGATAGATAGATAAAAAGAAATGTGATAGATAGATAAATAGATAGATAGATAGATAGATAGATAAATGTGATAGATAAAATGTGATAGATAGATAGATAGAGAGAGAGAGAGAGAATAAGATAGATGGCAAAAGAGATTGAGATAGATAGATAGATAGATAGATAGAGAGAGAGAGAGAGAGAATTAGAAAGATAAAGAGAATTAGAAAGATAAAGAGAATGAAATAGATAGACAGATAGATAGATAGATAGATAGATAGATAGATAGATAGATAGATAGATAGATAAAGAGAATGTGATAGATAGATAGATAGATAGATAGATAGATAGATAGATAGATAGATAGATAGATAGAATAAGGTAGATAGCCAAAGAGATTGAGATAGATAGATTGAATGAGATAGATAAAGAGAATGAGATAGATAGATAAATAGATAGATAAAGAGAATTAGATAAAGAGAATGAGGTAGATAGATAGATAAATAAAGAGAATGTGATAGATAGATAGATAGATAGATAGATAGATAGATAGATAAATAAAGAGAATTAGATAAAGAGAATGAGATAGATAGATAGATAGATAGATAGATAGATAGATAGATAGATAGATAGATATCTGCGGAAGCTAAGATATTTCGAAAAAAATATAGATGGGGTTTGTAGGAGTTGTGTGATTTGCATGTTATATTGTTGTATTTATTACATTGTGAACCATGAATATTCCCCCTTGAAAATTTAACTTAAAAAAATTGTTTTTGTCATGCTTCTTTGTTTCTCTCTCGTATTTCTCTCTCTCTCTCTCTCTCTCTCTGTGTATATTTGCATGTTCATCCGTGTGTGTGTCTGTGTGTGTGCATAAATAGGTAATGCCGATATATAACTACATATCTGAAGACAGGTACGTCTACGTCCGTGCCTTATTTGCCTTTGTTTGACCCAGCTAACCGAATCATAACACGAGTCTCAACAACCCCCCTCTCCACCGCGCCGGCTCCATGTCAGTGGTCACTTACAATATGGACGTTACAATTCGGCTTAAGTCACGCGAAACTGACCCTGTATTAAATTTTCACCGATAAACATCTCATTGAAATCTGGAGCTCAAAATAAACAATAAACTTATCGGCGTTGTCAAACATCAAATAGGAAACACAATGGAAAGCTTATCGGATATTGAGAAGATTGAACGGATATCACAATCGACAATAATGCATTTCATAGACGGTTATACAAAGGGCCAAGACTTTTTACTGGTATGAATTTCTGTGAAATGATATTCTAAGACTGTGTATTAAAATTGAATTTCTTTTTTGTCTTTTGAGATGGGGCACAAATTTGGATTTGGAATTTTGCAAGACTTATAAATAAATTTTATCAGGTATTTCATTAAAACCGCGTGAGTAAAAAAAAAATATTTAGCAGTCACGACATTCGCTATTTTCAGCACAGTTTTATTTCCAGCTACAAACATGAAAAATGTCAGTTAGTGCTGGACAATCTCCTCACAAATGAAGAAGTGAAATGAAGCAACAGAAATGTGGTTCTACAGAAGGATGCTGAGAATATAATGGACCGAACCTATGGGCGACGACGAGGTTCTAGAGACAAAAAAAAACAGGAAAAAGGGCACACAGAAGATTAGTCCTCCTATATGGCAGTGAATACTGGACAATCTCCTCAAAGATGAAGATGAGTCTTGAAGCAATAGAAACAAAGAAAAGAATACTGGACTGTTATGTAATACCAGTCCTCTAATATGGCGGTGAATACTGGACGTTCTCCTCAAGGATGAAAAATATATTTGAATTAACAGAAACAAAGAAAAGAGTACTGAACTGTTATGTAATACCAGTCCTGCTATATGGCGGTAAATACTGTCAATCTTCTCAAAGATGAAGAAGAGACGTGAAGCAACAAAAGCAAAGAAAAGAGTACTGAACTGTTATGTAATACCAGGTCCTTTAATATGGCGGTGAATGCTGGACAATCTCCTCACAGATGAAGAATATGCTTGAATCAACAGAAACAAAGAAAAAAGTACTGAACAGTTATGTAATATCAGTCCTCCTATATGGCGGTGAATACAGGACCATCTCATCTGTGAGAGATGAAGAAGAAACATGCAGCAACAGAAATTTGGCTCTACAGAAGGATGCTGAGAATATAATAGACCGAACATTTGAGCAACGACGAAGTTTTAAAGAAAATGGAAACAAAAAAAGACACTTTTACTTAACATCAGAAAGAGACTTTTAATATCTAGGATACATAATGAAGAAAGAAGGGATGGAAATTTTGACACTCACAGGACACATTGAAGGCAATAGGTTCAGTGGAAAACAACGTATAATGTTCCTTGCGAGCTTGAGTAAATGAATGATAGAACAGGGTTTAGGAGAAATAACGAAAAGACAAAATCTATTAAGAGCTACAAACGACAGGAAATTGTGGAGAGTCATGATCACCAACGTCTTGTAGAGCACATAGAAGTTTCTCCAGCACAATTATAGACAGATCGATGCTAAAACCACTAAACTCATTAAATGTTCCGGTATATAATTAGGTTTATGGTCAATGGACGTGGATCTTTATTATTTTGATATCCCCTCTGACTGTTAGATATTCCAGCTGGGTGGTGATGATCATACCTCAGCTACTAGAGGTAGCTTAAAGACACAACACATGAGCTGATCCCAGCAGCGCTGTCACCCGCGTGGCCCCAATAATGTTAGGCATCCCCAAGCATAACGATTTCCGACTGCGTCAACCCGAAAAACAACTAGAGCTTATTGCGTGATCCATTTCTCTCGGGAAGGGACAACTGAACACTACCAACTGAACCTCGCCGACTCAACACCGCCGACTAAGTGCCGGGACAACTCAGGACCGAGACAACTCAGCACCAGAAAGCATGAAATATTTTATAACAGAAAAAAAAATAATTTAATAAAGTTTCAAAGCTTAAATAGTTTAATATTTTTTAATTATTTTTAATAAAGTAAATCGTAAAGAAATTTAAAGAAAAATATTCACTAATTAAGGTTTTAATCTTTAACAGATTATCTTTATTCGACCAGATTGTGCTTCTTTCTTTATTTCTTATGCATAGAATACGTGTGCGCATGCGTGAGTGTAAATGAGGGCATAGAAAAAGAGAAAGAGACTAATAAATACGTCACAGATTTTATGATCATTAATAAAATTGTCCGTCTTAAAATCGATAATACGAAATCAGTTTTATAACTTACAAGCGAGAACGTCTTAATAAATGTTAATATGAAGTGGTTGTCAGAACAAGTATCTTATTTCGTTCGTCGTATTCAAGAATTTAATTTCTTCTTTGCTGACTGTTTCCTTTATGATTACGGCGTTGATGACTAGATTCCCCGCCAATGTGCAGGTTCAGGACAAGAAGTTTCCAGTTTCACCAAAATCTGCTCCCGTCATTCTTTCCTTATCGTCATTTGCCTTTGCGAAAGTTGGATAGAGGTGAAAGAAAATCGGAGTAGACGAAAGTGCCGATGGCGTGAATTTGTTTAAGGTGGACCTCAACTTGCCAGGACGTGGCCCACTCGCTTGATTTCATGAGCTTCCTCTACGACACGTTATGAAACTGCAACGGACTGCCGCTGACTCTGTTTTAATTTCGAGTGGCGCCTTCTGTAGCATGTCCTTCATGCGTAGCCCTATTCATCCTCTGGTTTAAACGTTGAAATCTATTGTAATCGTCATCCGCTTGTTCCACCGTTGGGGTCTTTGGGATTGGTCGCGCTCAGTCTGAGTCTTCATCATCGACCTTGTCGCCAAGAGTGGCCCTACCAGGAGTTTAGAACTCTCAAGCATTAAATAAGCAAATAATAAAAGTATAAAATTATCATCATATATACTTTTAATATGAAACACTGCAAAAAAGAATTTGTATAGAATTTCAAAATAAATGCCCATTCCTGGTGTCTTAAGGGTTGATCGCGTTTAGTCAGGGTCCACGTCTTCGACCTTGCAACCAAGTGTCACCTACCAGGAGTTTAGAACTCCCAACAGCACCGCTCTCATAGTCATTGAACTAGACAAGTCTCTCTACCACCACAAGGTGTGACATCCAGTGTAAAATATACAGGTTGTCCATAAAGTTCGTGTGCACTTTAAAAAATTATAACTTTATTAGTATTTGTGATAGAAATAATTTGTAAAAAGGATTAGAAAGAAGTAAATCTATATTTTTCAAGGTTTTATTGAAATTTTATTTAAGTTTCCACATGTCTTCCATCATTAGCAATACAAAGGGTTATACAATTTTGCAGTTCACGGAAAACATTTGTTGATTTACAGTAATGCCTGAAACCACATTAGTTATTGTTGAAGTTGGATAAGCATGGAATAATAATAATACAACACAAAATGTACGTAAACAAAATGTATTGAAACAAGGAAAAGGTACACAATATTTACAGCTAGTTTTGGTATATTCTTGGGAAGACTGTTCCTGTAGAATGGGTTGACTTAATCGCAGTCGGGCAGAGTCTCTGGATTGGATCTCTTCTTACTTCCTCCCCTCGTCTTCCCGGTACCAACCCATATTTATATGGTTGGTACTCCACTATGTAAATTAGGTGGATCCTACCACAACAGTTATTTTAGCTATACTTAAAACTAGGTACTTTAAACTTTATAACATTTTTTTAAGTTTATTTCTATCGCAAATAGAAATCTTCTATCTATAAAGAGCAGGATGTGTGTGTGTGTGTGTGTGTGTGTGTGTGTGTGTGTGTGTGTGTGTGTGTAACGAATGCACAGCCGCAATTTTCGACGGATTTGCACCAAAATTTACATGCACATGTTCCAACTTAGCGAGGTTGCATTTCCCATCTCCCATCGATAGTGGAAATAATCGATTTTTTCATGCTTCTACGGCAGTTTTCATGTAATCTGCGGCCATTTTCTACTGGCCAGAGTGGGAGCCAATAGCTGGCTGCCACGAATAGTCAGGAATATTCTATTGGCCAACGTCAGAGCCAACAGCTGACTGACACGAATGTTAACTAGCATGCTAGCATGCAAAAAAATCGATAGCTGCATTCATCACGAGTGGGAATAATTTAAATCTGCATGGCACTTTACTCCAATTGGCTCATTCGCTTGCTTAAACTCAACGTTGATTCTGATTTCGCAGAACTGGGTTGGGTGTGAAAAAGTATTTGTTGTTAACATTCTTTTTTCATTCAGTTTGTCCAGTTACGAGTCCTTTTTTTAAAGCTGATCGTTTTGTGTTCATTTTGTTTAGTTCTTTTTCGTAACAGTTTTAATGTTTAGTATAGAGCTTAGAAAAAATTCGCAGTGGGAGATAGGAAAGAAGTAAGGCATGTAGCAACATCAGCACGGAAAAAGGCACTCCTTTAAAGGCAAGGAAGTGCAAAAATATTTTAAGTCAAGTGGCTGTATGAGTCGTACTATTTTTTAATCAAGCACGGGCAACGCCGGGCCATGCTGCTAGTAAATTTATAATTTTTTTTAAAAAATGCACACGAACTTTATGGACACCCTGTATATGTGTTCATGCGTGTATCTTTCTATGTGCGTACCTATTTTATTTGGTTTAAGGCCACATCACGTTGAAACACCGATTCCCGTACGATCACCGAAGTTAAGCAATGTCAGGCCTGGTCAGTAGCTAGATGAGTCAAAGTTTAGGAACAACAGGTGCTGTAAGCTTGGATATACAGGTAGTGCAATAGATAATGAACAATTGTTAATCGGAGAGCCGAATTCGAATTCTAGTCGGGTTCGTTACATTCACTTACGCACAAATACCCTTGAGAAATGTATGAAGATACAGCTTCCCCCCCCAGAAATGGGTTAATTAGTAAGACTTGTATCACTAAATCATTGTTATCTCCAAAAAAATTAAATTTGCTTACAAAATAGATTTCGGCATTAAATAACACATATAGATGTCGATATACCGCTAAAGAAAGACAACCAAGCAACCTGTTTTGTTTACAACAGTATTAAATTATATCGCTTGTGATTACTTTTCATTCATACGAATGTCATAATCTTTGTTGTTATTATCATTACGTTTCTTCAGCTTCTTCAGGTGGGTGTCGATCCGGGAAACCGTCAGTGAGATATGAATTGAACACTTTATTTAATAAACAGGGATAGATTGTTCTCATTCAGTTGTCCATGTCACGTGTTATCTGTTCTTGTTTAATTTTTTTTTTAAGTGTTGATCTGTTACTCCTGTTTACACTGAGGATCAGTCTGTACTACCCACCCCAGGGATTGAACTCACATTTACAATGTGGCCAATTTCATGAACCGACGATTTAAATCTCGAGGCAAAAGATAAGGTAGATATAAATAGTTTGAGCAGGAATCAATACTGCATGGTGACTGTCAGTTTCATGCTTTAAGCAGACTTCAGGACAATGTGTCACTATTTCTTTAGCAAGCTCTCTCTATATATAGGTTAGTGGGGGATTAAGAGAAATGGCCGGGTTGAGGCGGTAATCCTTCCCATTTCTTTTGTATGCAGTTGGAAGCTGGCCAAAGAAACATCGTTTTTTTTTTTTCTTGTATCATATCAAGTATTATTATTACCTTTATTGTATCACGTGATTTCTACGAAGGATGATGCATATGAAGAAAGATACAATTTCTGGCGGGTCCATCACGTTTACTTCGCCTGGGACTACGAAACGTATACAAATAATCAAATTATCACGAAAAAAAAAAAAACTGAAATTTTGCTTATTCCTATAATGAAAGGTAATTATACCGTTTTGTTGTGTTTTAATTACAGTATTGGAAGCGTAAATATAATATGCCGCAGCAATACAGAGCGGATTAAAGACCTTTGAAGAGGTAAGAGGTAGTATAAATCGAAAAATAAGTAAGGAAAAACTTATTATAAAAAGGGAAAACGAGAAAATCCGAGGAGCGAATTATGTCTTTCTTCAT